CTCTTCCCGACCAAAACTGCCATCGAATTAGATGTTTTAGAATCTAGATATATGTTCATCTGATATCTTCCAAGTTCCAACAGAGAAATTGGCTACGATTCCTAAAAGCTCAAACTTGCATGAGACCAGAACTAACCACTGACCCAAGCACCAAAGGGTTTAAACATAAACAGAAATCCTCGGATACCCTCTATCATGGGAGGCAATTTCCACTCTTCCGTACACAATTGTGGTTTCACGTAAACTGGGTGAGAACCCCACCGACAACTACTTCAGACCATGAAAACAAATCGAACCCAAAGCTACAACTTCCGAACAGATTTTATCCATGTCCCTAACATTTTCCCCCAATAATCCAGAGAATGCCCGAGATCAACACCAACACCGTCACCATAAATGTAATGCACAGAATCAAGGGTACCCTTCAACCGAGATTATAGACAAAAACCCAGGAAAGAGATTCAAATGCATCTGCAAATCATCATCAAACGAATTGGCATGCAGCCAGTGAGAAATTCGTCATTGTAAGCCAGGCATGCATACAATACACATTCACAAATATACGAATACCTCTTCGATACGAGAGAGATTCAGCTGAAGCCGATTGTTAATCCAGGAGAGAATCTCGTTTCGTCCGACGAAGTAAGCGCTATCCATTATGCCAATGTTTGACGCCATTTCTTCTTCTCTCCCACCGGAAAAAAAAAAAACCCCGAAAGAAACCCTTTTTTTCTCTTGATGAAATAAGGGAAATAGAGAGAATGGGTATCAACCGAAAAGGCAAAATCGATGCGATACGCTAAGAATATTTTTCTTTTTCTCTCCTAAATTTCGATTTGATCCGTGTTGGTCTTGCTTGTTATGAAAAGAAACTGAAGCAGAGGAAACGACGGGGAGAGAGGGAGAGGGAAAAGGTAAAAAGCTTACGAAAAAAGAAGCAAAGAAAGGCTGGCATCAGCAATTGCGAATGTGGCCGTGGCGAATTTAATTTTATTATTTTATAATTTCCCTTTTGTTGGATATATTAATTTACAATTTTCATTTGAAAATTCATATACATTCTGAAACATATGCTTACACTAATAATTATAATTATCGAATAATGATATACCTGATGGTGCCCAACTAGTATTTATTTATTTTTTTCAATATGTGCAAGGGAATCTAATAAACATAGATTCTAAATATTATATAAATATATGTATATCGTTCCTTATGTATGTTATGTGAATGAATCTGTACTATGAAGCAGAAGCATTATAAAGAATGCCTCACCAGATTGTTTGTTCAATGTTTTTATCTATGTAATTAATCTAAAAAATCTCTTTTTTAGATGACAAGATATAAATTTGGGTTGTATAAAAAAAAATGAAATAAAATTAGTTAATAAAATATGTCATTTAATTAATAAAAACAACAATAAGAATTAAAATTTATTTATACTTTTATTTGGCGAATACCCTTAATTAACATTTTATCATTCATATTATTTATCATGTGAATATATAGCAAACACAATCTCATTACGCCAAACAATTATTTCTCATCCCATAAAACTTAATCATGTTAATTAAGATTTGTTTTGGGATATTTGCCATAAGATTGAGAAAATATGAAGGGACAGCATTTTGTAATTAAATACTAAAAAAATTAGGTTGATGAAAAAACGACGACAGAATTTGGCTAAAATGTATTGCCTCCAATTATGCATATATATGATATATGTATTATGTAAACAATACGAAACGACGTAGTCAATGCATTTGCGATAACAATGAAACAAAATCTAAAGTAAATATACGCCACGTCATCATGAAGGAGCTTATGTGATTAGGACACGTGAACTTTTGGTCAAACATGTTTGGTCAACTACGTGGGCTTGGTTGACGGAACGTCTTCTCCGTGAATATCCCTAACGGAAAAAATCAAAATTTTCAAAAGATAAAATCATAGAAATAGATTCATAACCATATATCTTAAAACAACTACATGGGACAATTATTATATTTAAACAATATATATATCGGTGCTGAACTAAACATATCCCAAACACACACACATTTATATTTTTTATTCATCTCAAAATTTTAAAATTAATAATCCGAATTTGATTTACAAAAATGGAAACATTTCTTTAGCATATAGTATACTATTAAAAGGGGGCATTATCAAAAATACCCTTAAAATGCTACTTCTACTTCAAGACCTACCCTGGTCACATGTGACCAATGTGACCGAAATATAGTATGGTCACATTTTGATTTTTATCGATTATAACGTTAAATTTATGGTGATCACACTAATTCATTATGTTCATACCTTGTATATCTTAAGGGGGCATTATCAAAAATACCCTTAAAATGCTACTTCTACTTCAAGACCTACCCTGGTCACATGGTCACAAGGGTAGGTGTTGAAATAGAAGTAGCATTTTAAGGGTATTTTTGATATAATAAAAGGCGTAAAACAATGGTTTCACTGCAGTCTACTTTGGTCCGGTCCTGCAGCAACAGAGGATGTACCACGTGAAACGCTTAAAAAAAATACTTGTTTCTTTTGAATTGATTTTAGATAAATTAATAAATTAAATAAATAAATAAATAAACACTCCAGACTGATTCATAACAAAAGGGTTCATTCTCCTCAAAATCAGAAAAACCTGATGGAAATTATATAATCACTCACATCCCCAAAAATAGCGGAATTAAGTTTTTTTTTAATAAAAAAAAAACTAAAGAAGCGACGGAAATAAATCGAGTAAAAAAAAACTCACGTTATTTTGCCCAAGGGAAAAAAAATTACTACACACAAAAATTAACGGCGAAATCACTGCACACACTTGCACCGCCGTCGCCGCCTGAGTTATCAAGCTATCCTCGTACCATCATTCTGCTCTTCTCTGCCTACTCCGCCGTGTGATCCACTCACCGGAGACTCGCCCGAGACATGTCGTCCGTATGGATTGAGGCCAGAGAGAACACTCATATGCCTTTGATATGATGATCACTCTCACCATCTCCTCCGCCGTTATCTTCGTTGATCGTATTAATCATGGAGGATATATGTTCGCCGGAAAGTACAGCCATCTGCGGAGGAGCTACGGCGGCAAAGTTCATGAGGTGTAAGCCGCTCGACAGGGTGGTGGATGAGGAGGCGGAGTTAACAGAAGGAAACGCCCATATGGGATCTCCTCCTCCACTGCCGCCGGATACCAAGACTCCAGCGCCGGCGTGGTGGTTACTTGCGGCAGCGACCATCCAGAAGTTTCCGGGGATCTGAGCCGTGGTGGGCCCACTGTTGCTAGATTGCAAAGCATAGCTTTGATGATGATGCTGATGCAAATCCGTCGTTGTTTCGACCCTCCGCTTCTTCTCTTCCGATTCGTCTTCCAAACTTGAAGCACCTTCTTGTTTCGCTTGTATGCCTGATGGATAGCTCAAGAGATGGCTACTCGTGGGGTTGTGGAAGTCCAAAAACGACGTCGTTGTGGGCACGAACGTGTCGAGACCAGGGAAGAGAGAAGCACTCGACGTGGTTCTTCCATGGATATTATACCCGCGTTGTTGTTGTTGCAACAAAGCAGAAGTGGAGGAGAAGGGAATATTAGGGTTAACGTAAGCTGCGGCGGCGGCGGAGTGGAAACGGGAGGGGAGGGAAATGGAGGAGCCGGAGGAACGGAGAGAGATATTCAAGGAGGTGAAGTTCGCCGGAATAGTTCCGGTCCCGGTGGCAGCGATGACGGCGGGCTCCGCCTGCTGGAGAAGCCACTCTATGGTTTCTCCGTCGGATTTGTGGCCGAGCTCTCGAGTAAGCTGGAAAACCCTAGCCGCGCATAGGGCTGGCATTCGGATCCTCCTACCTCGACCGTCAACCTTCGTGTGTCGGTCCTTTGTCGACGTCCGCTTCGGCGGCGGTTTCTTACCGGCAGCCGTGGCTGACTCTTGTGGTTGCGTTTGCGTCTGCGTCTGCGTTTGCGTTTGAGGTGGCTGTTGATGTTGTTGTTCGAATGAGAAGATGGAGGAGGCGGCGGTAGAGGAGGGTTTGTCGTCGGAGTCTCGTTTTCCGAGTAGTTGGAAGGGGAAAGTTGGCCGGTGACCATTTCCACCGTCCATCATCTCTCACTCTCTCTATGGTTTGTGTTGCAGAGTGGCAATTTATGTAAATATGTGTACATATGAATTAGGGTTTAGCTTTGCTGATCTGTGTGAGGGTCGTCCTATTGCACTCTTGTGTCTTTGGTTTCTTGTTTCTTGCAATAAAAACTTAGGAATTGATTGATGCAACGGAGAGAGAGACACAGAATGGGAACTAAAGAAGTGAGAATTATATTAGGAATTTTGATTGATTGATGCATATATATATATATATATATATATATATAATATAAATATAACATTTACCGTTACCAATATATATATATTTATTTATTTATTTGGGTGAGCTTTTAAAAAAGCCATTTCTTTTTTGTTTCCTTTTTCTTCTTTAGGGAACAAAAGATAAAAATTGTTTTCATTGCTTCATATCTCACGCTTTTATCATAATTAGTGATCATAGCAATAGCAATACGTACCCGCACCAATAACAATGTTATATGTTATAATTAACACCTATAATAACATAATATTATTCGTACGTTAATATTCATTTTACCGTTTTTTAGTTTGTCCCATGATCTCCAGAATCTAATATATATATATATATAAAATATATATATGTATCTATAGGCAAAAGAAGTAGAACATATCATGTTTGATGACCCATTTCACTTGGTCCATATAGCAAGTATGTGACCGAAATAACTATCGATCTGCACGTATAATAATATATCATAATGTTTTAGACACCTGTATGTATTAATATATATATATATATATATATATCATGGAGATTTAAATGGAATAATAAAAACACCTGGCAGAGTTGGACAGTGACTGTTCATTAACATCCGATTGTACATATTACGTAGATAGTTGAAAAATTACTTGCATTACTTAAATAAAAAATAGTTATTTAGATCTAATGGTTCTGCACATAACTGGGTTTATATAATTTATGGTCATATATCTATTCACACACGTGATATATATATATATAT